TGGTGCGCATTTTTATTTTTAAATGGAATCGCCAATTGTCATATTATCTATTCCATCATTATATACACATAATATGAATATATATATATCATATAATATACGCATATAACCGGGGATTGTTAGGTACTATATGCATGTAGCTAGATAAATACGTATAGTCTCTGGGTAAAAATAGAAAATGGGAAGAATCGAAAAAATAGAAAAATAGACCGGTGACGAAAAGCATTATCCTCTTTTTTTGGAATGGAGGGATTAATGAAAAAATGGTGGAGGTGGAGGGTAGAACGGAGAGGTAGATAAAAAGCATTGAGCAGTAAATGAACCTTTTGCGATAGGAGTGCACGAACCACCTGGTTGGCAACGTCGTCTAAACACCTCTCGTACTGTCTCCTCTGTGCATCAGCGTCACGGGCCAGTGCAACGTGTTCAGTCTCCAATGTTGCTAATCTAGCAACTAATGCTGCATGAACTTCTCCAGCACAAGCAGCCTCTAGTCCACGTAATTGTCCACGCATCGATTCATTTTCCAATTGCAGCTTTGAGATTTGATTTTGATACTGATGAACTCGAGTCTGTAAACAAAGCACTTTTTTATTTTACCAGACCGAGTGTGAATTTTTAATTTATTACATCCTAATTGAAAATCTCGAAATACAATGAGATCGAGATTCAAAGTGATCACCCATGATGAGGATTATTCGATGTAGGATGATAAGATTATCGAGACCAGTTTTTAGGTAATATCTCGGAATGGAAGGAAGATAGCGAAATTTATGTAGTTTTATTTTTCATAGAGGAGAATGAGATCTACAAAAAAGGTATCTATGAGAATATTACGATTTTCTTTCAGTTTCAAGATATTGTCTAAAAACTAGCCTCGAAAAAAATGCACTAGTTTAGCACTTGGGAATGTTGTGCTGGAGATTGACCGGTTGAGGATTGAGATAAATGTTTCTGCTACTGTTCGATTTTGCCCCGATCTCCCTTCATGTTCCAGTAGTCAAAATGAAGGATTGTTAATAACGTTGGTGTTATTAGGAGAGTGGTGGGGTTTAACGTTGAATTAGGGTGGCCAGGAGGCTGGGAGAGACAGGAGTGCTAATAGAGGGTGCGTGTTCTTGATTTATAACGGAGTCTGGCGTTATTCCGCCACACATTCACCTTCTAACTCCCCTCATCACCACTTCTCTCCTCCATTTTCAGGATGAGTTTAATGCTTCCTCGACCCGTAGGGAATTGACCTTGAAATTTTTCACCCAAAACCCGTTTCTTTAAAATGCTAATTTTTATTATCTCATTTTTATACTCTCAATTTATCAATTTTTTATCCCGCATCCATTACTTTTCATTCAGCCTCTTAACGAGTAAATTTTCATACATTATCTCTCGTCGATGGAAATTTACCATTTCATGTTCAAACGTCTTGACTAATTTTAGCAATTAAAAGGTAATGAGTGCATATAACTACTTCAGCGAATTTTTCTCAGAAACTAAATTAATTAGCCATTAAATTACAAAATTGAGTGGCACTTAATGAAAAAAAATATGGAGGTGACCAGATTATTTATTTGATCCATGTGGGGTTCATACTGTGCTGGTGAGGTTTGCAGTACCTTACCACGAGTTCAATTGAGCATAACCGATTTTATATGAATTATAAAAATAATGTACCCTGATAAGAAAGAGAAAAAAAGAGTTCATAAAAAAAAGAGACATCTAAGCATAACAAATAGTATCTCGAAAAATAATCGACCGATCGATCTTAAATTCCGCCTAGATACGCTTCCAACTTATACTCATTATTTCATAAAATTTTTCTATAAAATTTTGCACTTTGTGCAGAAAGCACGAGTTTTGTGGGAGAATTTTTGTTGTCACGAAGGAGAAAACTCATCCTTTTTCCTAAGGAATTCTACTATAAGCTCATCGTCGAAGGAGATGCAATACAATTCGGCCAAATTCATTTCGTTAGCTATTTCGGTCCATCAATCACCAGTCCGGCACGAGTCTCACACTCAATTAATGAAATTATACCACTAGAAATCTATTTTATTAATAATATCAGCGATTTCTGTGACAGCCGTTATAACATCACATTATCTAATTTTTTATCTTGAAAATTCTACGCCTTTGTCTGTATAATTTTCTTTGAAAATCTAAAAATTCGTGCACACATTTGCACGAAACTTTATATTTTTAAGATTCATAATATTCTATATCATTTTGAAGCAAAATTATAGAGTTGATAAAATTAATTACAAAGTTTCGATTCGGAAGCTAAATTATTAAATTTATGTCCTGAAGGGATCAATTCACTTAAGGCAACCCGATTCTGAAACGATATGAGTCATTTCCTACGAAGTAAGTGCAAAAAATAAATAACATGTGTCTCAGTTTCCGGGGAAAAAGTTGGAGGTGTTATCATAACGAATTATTGATTAAAACATGAATGTATTTAATGGAACGGTTTTTTGGGGGAATTTTCGTTGTCACGAAGCAGCAAACTTCGATCAATAAAAAGTGAAGAAAGGAAATAGGGGAATCTTCCAGGACTAAATGGTCTGTGAATCCAGAGATACCGTTTTATTTATGACCATGGCATTTTTAGACAGCCATTATTTTGTCCTGAGCTGTATGAATGAATTTTCCTGATGTCATCTCATTCATATTGTCGCCTTGACAGTAAAGGTGTGCAGGTGTCAACCCTTTTACATTTTTTTCCACACCACTGATAATTTATTTTTATATCTTTGGACAACCAATTTTTCCTGTGGGAACGGGTGTGCAAATTTTAAAAATCGGAGACCGAACGCGATGATGTGTTTTCTATCACAAATTATTAATCTGTAAGATTATGCTGTTAAAAAATTACTCCTGAAATTTCATAGAAACACTTTAGAATGTTTAAACATAACACATTCACATGAAATTTCCTAGTTATTATTACTGATAAGTCAGTTAGACTCTGAATTTTTCAGGCCTTACAAATTTTGAGACATTTCGTGTACAGTACTGTACATACGCACTAATGAAAGATAAAGTATGAGTGAAAACGTTTAGGTCGTGATTGCAATGAACAGTGCAGAATGAGTGTGACAGATTTTAGGTTTCAACTATCGAGAGTTTCGATTCGATTCGATATAAATGACCATCTCCTTTTTAGATAGGCCTAGCACTTCAGAGGCGCTATGCGCGCCTGGCAAATCTTTGCAGATTATTATTTCCTATCTTTAATTCAATGACAGAACAAGAATCACCATATAATCGGTATCGCATTGTATATCGATATTTT